CTCCACCCAACCGGAGTCTCCGTTGTTTTGCAGGTACAGACGGTCGGCATTCAGTCTTGGAATTGTAACTCTCTCGAGAGACTCAAAAACACCGAAACAGCTTTGGTTAGCTAGCTATATGGTTGACAAAAAGTTGTCAGAAGGAGGAAACATGGTAATCAACCATTTATTTAACAAGGTACTATGTATTACGGAGTAGATAACTATTGGGGTACAACCATTGTTATTAAAATCCCGATTTAAATATTAGAATTTTACGATTTTACAATTCAGGTATGTCATACGATTCGATTTAAGATTTTATCCGATTTTACATATTTCTCTTAACTAGCAAAATCCTTGCAAGTTAAAAGCATATATACAAAGTTATTTATAAATATATGTTGTCAATTATTGGTTGCTTAATGGGTAAACAATTATTTTCTATTAAAAATTAGGTTTCAAACTCATAATTTAAATATGTTTAATTAAATTTGGATATGACGTCTTGATTATGCATGTCCGCAAAATCTTACGATTTGATTCTGAGATCCCTTCCGATTCAAAGTAGAATTCCAATTTTAATAACTTTGGGTACAACTAACTAAAATGAGAAGTAGCTAAAACCTTATGTGATATGATAAGATAATTAACAATTTAACTTACAATTAGAGATGCTCTTATACTCAATATGTCTTTTATTATTTGCTTTATGATACTTTTTATATTACTTTTTGACATATATGTCTCTTTGTTAAACCAAATTTACATGGTATCTCACAATTGTCTCATACCCAACGTTTAAAGACCACAAAGAGAGAATCAACATTTACTCTCAAAGCTTTTTGTCCTTGTACTCAAGTAATTAGATCACTCTATTTCTCTCCATCTCCTTATACCATGGTTTACTACTCAATGAGTACATGTATTGCACATGCTCAAGAATACGGAGTACTCAGCATTGAAACACTAATCTCTCAAACTATAAATTCAATTGAAGGGAGGGGTAGAACTTAAAGTTTTTACATAAATTTGTTTATTTAAATCCAGTGAGAAGTATTGTCCCACATATAAGGATAAATGGATGAAATAGCAAATATTTTGAACCTCATGATTCATGTCATGAATTCACATGTTCTTTAGATAGTTTGTAATAGAGCTTGCGGAAACTCCCACGTGAAACACGCCTTCGCATAAAAGTTGGCACCAACTTTAAAACTAGATGGTACTCACGGCATACTAGATGACGGGGTACAAAACAATAATAGAGCAGGTCGATCGATCTTGAGATGGTATCACAAGTTCATAGTAATTCTTTTAAATACTCCATAATAAGAGCTTAAATCAAAATATCACATTTATCTTACAATAAGTCATTGTGACGCTATATAATTATACAAAAAATTTCCTATTTGTAACATACCGATATTCACGATCACTAAATAAATAAATAATTGATAGAGTAAGACTCCGTTCACTTTATCTTATTTTTGCTGAACTGAAATTAGTTTTACTAAACTAAAATTATTTTTGCTGAACTTTAATTATTTTTACTGATTTTCTATTGTATTATTCTTCTTTAAAGTAACTTAATTTTACTGAACTGAACTTTTTTTTACTGAACTGAAATTATTTTTACTTAATATATTTTTTAAAGGTGAAGTGAACAGGGCCTAACACATGTATATATTGAGCAAAGAATAATGCTACTCTATGACTTAAAACTTTTCTAATAGTGCTCCAAATAATAGTGTTCATAGACATTTACCATTTCAATTATCAACTTTTTAAACGATAAAATAAAGTCCATACCAAACATGAAAACGTATCCCATAAAGGGAAAACAATGCTTCATCCTTTACATATCATTTGTCATTACAAATCCTAAAAAAAGCACTTGCATCATCAAATAGTAAATACAAAGAACAAGATAGTCTAAACTACTTTATTAAAAAAGAAATGAGGGAATCATTCATTTTATATAATTATGATTATTAAAAATGTTCCTTATAACTAGAATAAGTGGAAAGTTATCCAAATATCCAATACATTTCTGATTATTCTCCTTACATTTTTAATCTAATACATAAAATAAACTAACTTACCCTACAAAACAGCAAGATTAGCATCATCACAATCAAACCCACATCCACAAGACGGCGACTCTTCAAAACCTTCAAGAGGGAAGTTCGCGGAGGCGATACCGACGGAGAACTGAAGCTCACCGTTTTTTTTATCGACTTCAACAATACTCAGCCATAGAAGCAACACCTTAACACTAATACCCTTGAGGTGTGTAAGACGATCTTTCGAGATAACTCCGGTAATGGTTGATTTGTATTCTAGATCATATCCCTCGATGGTGAACTTACACGTTTGAGGCAAATAGACCTTGAACTCTCCCGTTTCGGGGTCGAGCTCGTAGCCGGTTACTCCATTAGGGAGTAGACCGAACGGAAAGTCGTAGCTTTTTAAGACTTCGTAGGCGGTTGGTTTGGCAGTGGCGACGACGGAGAGTGAGATGAGGAAGAGGAGGAGGAGTGTTGTCGTGGTTGATGAAGACATTGCTAAGGATGTTATCGGTAAGTGAGTTGAGTTTGTTTGACAAAATGAAAAGTCTGGATGGATTAGAGATTTATATTTGGTGGGATAAGGGATAATTGACACGTGTCTGATTATTTATGAATAGGTAGTTGATTAATGTGGACAGAAGTGAATCTCTCTCGAGCTCCACGAGGGGAGTGAACAGGGATAAAATGACTGAATTACCCATCTTACTAGTCGTAGAGGGTTCGTCAACGTTTTTGGTCAATGACTTTGACCAAATTACCCTTGTAGAATGGTCATACCCTATTACTTGATCAATATACCCTTGTAGAATGGTCGTACCCTATTACAGAGTACAAGGTATTCACGAATGGTTACCAGTTGAACATCGTTTTTATTACCATTGCATAAGGGTAAAATTGACTGCTTGGCTTGGTGGATGAGAGCACAAGTCATCAGCCACAACCAAGGTGGAGTCCATCCAAGAGAGGCTGATAGTAGTGTACCACCAACGCAAGACCAATCAGATGTTGATCGAGTGGTTAGCCAAGACATGATTACATGTTATTGTACAACAATACACAAAAATGGAACCCATATCGGCAACTACTTGGCATGTTGGCGCCACATATAAACACGCCACTTACTAGTAGCCACTAGACACCACCAAAGCCAATTAGCTTTGTGTACGAGCACAAGACTGAGTCACTAATCAAAAAAGTCATTAGTCTCAATACCAAGGTGAAGCTCAACCAATTATTTTCTAGCCATCAGTCCCGCAACAATATTTCACCGCTGAAGAAATAGTTTCTAATACAAACGGCAAATATGACATGCGTCCTCCTCCCTAAGCGTCTAGCCATCTACTTACCTTGGATGATCTATTAATGATCATACTGATCATGTGCAGGATGATCATTTGCAAGATGATATAGGTGATCAGACCATGTTGGATCATAATACATTTGACATGGCAGTCGATGATACTACAGCACACCCTCAAACAGTAAGAAGAGCTAGAAGTTGATGACAGAGCTACCAACAATTCTAGAATATCAGAGAAGATAGATAACAAACTTCCCTAGATTCCAGGAAGTTAGTTATAGCACGTTTATTGTAATAAGCAAGTATTTAGGTAGCCTTCTTCTTCCTTACAGACTTATAGTGTATTGAAACATACCCTTGTATATCAATAAAAAGTGAGCTTTCTCTCCAATTTGTTCTCTATTCTATTCTCTAGAAATCAAAATATGAACTAAAGACAATGGCCATCGATGGCATTGCGGCCATTGCCACATTGTTAACATATGTTTATTCGTAAATGTCCCATTTTAGCACTTTTATGCTCAGCTTAGGCAAAAAAATGTCATGTTCATTACTATACATTCATGCAGTTAATAATATCCAAATAGACATTTCACCAAATTCTCCCAAACTTCTAAATACACCACCAATTTAGCTGTCAAAAAAAAAAAAAAAAAAAAAAAAAAAAAAAAAAAAAAAAAACCCACCAATTCAATGTTCTACACGTCATTCCTAACAAAGTCTTATACTATATGGATAAATAAGATTTCATCAACCAATACGAACAACCTTCTGCTAAATATGCTTAGGATGTACAGTCATGTATTGGAACTCATATTCACTAGGCAAGAAAGGATTGTTTATATGCACTTTCATGGCTTGTACACTAACTGAAGACTTTGAAGGGATTGTTGATGCATATCATCTTCAATTTGAGCATATTATTGACTTTATCACCATGAAAAAACATTCATGTTCCAAAAAGCTCTTGCATTTACATGATGCCCTTAACTAGTTTACGTTGACCAATTTTACAGCATGACCATTCCATTAGCTTTTCCGGCCATTTCTACTTCCCTCTTGCATTATCCCATCTAATATATAGTCAAACCCTAACCTTGTTAGCAACAACTCCCATTTGCTCTGTATATAAGGAGATAACAAAGGGTTCAAGGAGTTTACCAAAGGACTAACAACAACAAAAAAAAAAAAAAAAAAAAATTGACATGAACCAAAAACAAAGACTTCCCTCTTAAAAATCATCGACATTGCTGCACTGATGCTAACTAACTTGGCATAATCTAGCTGACTAGCTTCATAGTGCCAGACTGCCAATTATATGTAACAATAAAATTGGTTGCAAAAGATTGAAGATCAAACTAAGTAAAAACACCTATTTCTGATTCATGCTTTAAATAATGTGTTCATCATAACCAAAATTAAAATTTAACAACAAATGATCATAACGCTAAATTGTAGTTAGCCAGGGAAAAAATAGACGACAAGATCAATGAGAAAAGTACAAGATCTTGGAGCATGAAACTAGCATTCTTTGAACGATATGACTCATGGGGTTGGAAATGAGAAGGATGATGAGCCAAATTTAGAAAACTAAAGATGAGCACACCTTAAAAGGACGCAAAAAATCAGGGGAACAAACAACTGTCAAATGAAAAAGAAGTGCCTTTTGAAGTTGAAGATCAGAAATAAATCTCACTATTCTTTCAATGAATAAAATACAACATCAAAATGTAGGTATCGAAAACTACATACAGGATAAAATATCAAACATGATTTTACAAACAATAATATGATTATTGGATCTGCATGTTAGCAATGAACAACTATCAAGAAACAAGAACCATAAACACCCCTCAAAATAAAGCAATTGGCTACTTACAGGTCTACGTCAAATCAGCTAACCTCCCTTAGCCTTTTTATCAACGCGTCCAGAGACTTCCTTTTGGGATTCGGCTTAGCTCCCCTGGTGGCGAAAAAGCTCCTATCTGAAGGATCCCTTAGTTTCTCGGAAATGGTTACAACTTTCCTGTAGTCCAAAGCATTGTAAGTTTTTTCCCTGATAACAGGATTTAGGAAGTTCTCCGGGTTATTGCTTAAAAGCAAATTAACCAACTGCCTCGACTCAGCAAGGCCTAATTTTAGCTCATTTGCTTCAGCTTCGGAGAGAATAGATCTCTGACTTTCTGCAAATGACTCTAATAACTGAATATCAATGTCGAGCCCTGTAATTGCATTCACATTAAACCTCTTCACTAAATCTCCCATCAAAGCACCGATAATCTTTCCAGATATATGAGACATTACATCCTGCAGAACCCTCTTAAGAACTTGTGGGGGTAATATCTGCTGAGCAGTCGAAACCAGAGTCTCCAGGAATATTATAACCTCATTCACATACTCATTACCGCCCTGAAGAGGCTCGTCACCCAGCCAATTAACATTCTCCATCAGTGACATAAAACCATCTATCTTAACCTTAATCATCCCAGCAAGCATTTCTTCTGCTGCATCACGAGACTTCTTTAACGGGAACAGCCTCTTTCCTCTATCTGCCATTCTCAAAGGTATGCCTGAGAGCTGAGCAGCATGCTTAAAGAAGAAATCACAGGCTCGCTCAAACACTGCCATATTCGCAGCAACTTGCATAGCTTGCGAAACACCAAACACAGAAGTCTTAATTAACTTAACTAGAGCCTCATCAAGGACCTCACTCAACAATCTATCCAAATACTTCTTAACCACATCATAAGAATCCAACTGCCCACCATATGACATAAAACTCACAGAATCCTCAATAAACGACCTCACAATTCGACAACAATCAGGCACAGTAGTCGAAAAAGGAGCCACATAAGGAAAAGCCGGGGTAATATCCGAAGTCTGCAATTGAAAAGCTAACACATTCATAGAATACTCGTACTCTTTCTTCATCAACATTTGCTCAAACTTATCAGCATTGACCGCATCAGTAATCTGCTTACGACAATCCGATAACAACAATTCATGATACTTATCCCTATGCTTACTCAACACATCAAGCAAAGCATCAACCGGATACCCGAACCTCCTCAACGAAACCCCAAGCAAACTTACATAATCCTTGATCAACAACAAATGATTCGCGGTTTGCATTCGCGAAAACTGATCCTCTAACACAGAACACATCTTACTAATAGCCAATTCCCACAAATTCTCAACCTCCCATTTCGTAATCAACCCCCCACCAGTCCTCAAAACCCTATCCTCAACAATGAAAAACCCAGCAATTTGCGCAAAAAAAGTTTGATGTGACTCTAAAAACGGTGTCATAGAAGATACCTGAAAATCAGAAGTCAATTGCAACTTTCGAGTTTCGAAATAATAATGCTTAAACCGATCTTCAGCTCCCAACGATTGATGAATATGAAATGCCCTATACAACGGCGTTAGATCAAACCCTAAACTTCCTCCATTGACATTTCCACCACCATTTTCTCTCTCCAACTCAAGATCCAATCCATCATCTTCTTCCTCCAACGCATAAACACAATCCCTAACACTCAACCTCGACTGCTCCTCCGCTTGTCGCTGCTTCATCCTCAACTCCTCCTCCCTTTGCCGAGCCGAAGACGCTTGTCCAATCGCAAACTGCCCTAAATTCCTACTCACAGCTCGAATCTCAACAAGCCAATCCCCAAATTCTTTATTCGCTTTCTTTTCAACATAAACCCTAACCGCCGGAATATGCTTCTCCAGCATCCTCTTCAACGTCGAAGACGGCGCAATCTTCAACAAATTCCTCTCAATCTGATCAACACATCGCAGCGCCAAATACAACTGATCATTCTTAATATGCGCGTTACTCCGCGCACAAAGCTCGACAATCTCAACGCAGATCTTAACAGACCCCAAACACATCAACAAATTATTGTTAACATTCCTCGCTTCAATAAAAGCATCGAGAGAACTCAACAATGGCTGCGCAACTGACTGAAGATGCGCGTTCGACAACGAAAGTGACGATTTCAGATCATCGACATCGGAGAGAAGTGAGCGAAGATCATCGACTGCAAGAATGAAGTCTTGGTAGTGAGCTTTGCAAACTTCTTCGATCTCCGATTCCTTGGAACGAGTAAAAGCTTTGAGGTTGTGGAGGAGGAAGTCGGGTTTTCCGGCGGCGAAAGCTTTCCTGACGAAGGGAGAGAGGTCTTCGCCGTTGCAGATGGCGGAGGAGAGGAGGAGTTGGTCTTGTTTATCGGCGCCGGAGGAGTTGTCGCCGCCGTCTGCCGGAGATATTCTCCGGCGACTTTTGGTTGACTGCATCAGATAAGGAGAGAGAAAGTGGGTTGAAGGAGGAGAGAGAAAGTGGAGATGGCGGAGAATTAGAAGGAGGAGAGAGAAAGTGGGAGATTTGGACAGAGGGTGAGGGGTGTGAAATGACGAAAATGCCCTTGGAATGGGCAGGAGAGTGAGGGGAAGTGAGGGGTAGTTTGGGGATTTTGGAGGTGATGAAGTTGAGAAGGTGGAAAGTTGGGGAATGTGGTGTGAGATGATGGAGAGAGAGCGTTGACGTTAAGGATTAGGCGTTATATTGACGTGTTGTGGTTTTGTTGGACCGTTTTCTTTATTATCAACCTTGTAATTGCTTGTTTCATTCAAAGGTTTTCTTGTAATAATACATGGAGACATGGAGTAGTTGATAATGTTAATGATTAAAATGATTTGTATATTGTTGTATCAACATAAAAATAAATAAAAAAAAAAAAAAAAAAAAAAAAAAAATCAATCTACTACTCGTGTGTCTAAAGTTGAAGGTTGCGGAATAATTTGGAGAAAATAAATTAAGGAAGGAGTCCAAGGAGGACTTCGCAACTAGGTTGTTCACCATATTTAAAGTTGGATCGAATCAAGTTGAAGCGCAACCGAAAACTATAACTTTGAGATTTAAGACGCAAAAATCGGGTTGATTTTATTTAGACGATCATATTTAAAATTTAAAAAATAAAATTAAATTATTTAATGCATATTTTGAACTTTATATACTCCCTCCGTTAAATATTATCTGCAACTTTTGTTATTTTGTTCGATCAGAGTTATGTGCAACTATTTGTTTTTTTTTTCCATTTTTAGTAAACAAAAACCCTTAAAATTACATATTTACCCTTACTTTAAAAATTTAATGTTCTTAATTTTACCCTTATCTTATTTTAATCACAATAACCTTTTTTAATCTTATCTAAAATCATGAACCTAATTCTACCCACCCATCTACTCATCTCCTAATTTACCCACCACCATTCATCTCTTTCTCCAACCTTCACCCTCTTCATCTCTTTCATCTCTTTCACTTTCACCCTGTTCATCTCTTTCCACCACCATTCTTTCTCCTCCTTCACGACCACCGCCCCTCCCAACACCAATCTCTCTCCTCCTTCACGACCACCGCCCCTCCCACCACCATTCTCTCTTCTCCTTCACGAGTCACGACCACTGCCCCTCCCACCACCATTCTCTCTCCTCCTTCTCGAATTTCAGTCGGATCTGCTTTGGGGTTTGATTTTGTACGTTTGTCGTTTTTTTTTTGGGTGATTTACGTTCGAATTTTCTGGGTTTTTTTCGATTTTATGGGTTTCGATTTTATGGATATTGATTTTATGGGTTTTGATTTCGATTTTATGGGTATTGATTGTTTAACTTGGGTTGTTGCTGTTGTTTGTTTCATTATTATCGCCATTTCTATGGTGGAAAGGTAAATTCTCCAAAAAAAAAATAATAATTTTTGTTTTTTTATTGATTCCCATATTATGTTTAACAGTGTTGATGATTTCATTGATTTTTGATTTTTGGTGGTGCGGTTTGATTTACAGTTATTGAAGAAGAAAAATCAGACGCCCCTTTTATGGGTTTTGATTTCGATTTTATGGGTGCATGGGTGGTGGGGTGGTCTGGGTTGGAGGTGGTTAGGGCTGGTGGTGGAGGGGAAGGTTAGATTTCTGGGTTTTCGTGAGGGTGGTGGTGGTGGTTTCGTGGGGGTGGTAGTGGTGGTGGTGAAGGCGACGGTGTGGGCGGTGTTGCCTGGTCTTGGTGGTGGTAGTGGGTTATGATTAATTAATCTCTCTACACCTTAATTACATATCACAAGTGCATTAACTTTCTCTAATCTTTGCCCTTTAAAAATTGCATTGGCAACTGTGAATTGTACAGCAGTTGCAGATAATATTTAACGGAGGGAGTATAAAATTTCTCATACCATAAAAATATTACTAACATACTAAAGGTAATAATTAAACATAAGAGATTTCTTAAAAAAAAAACAGAAACATGTTTAATACGTGAGTACAAGATCAATTTAAAGGGTTTTGGAGGATAATAAATCTCTCGACTTGGAGACTGGACTTGTTCTATGCTTTCTAGATCGGTTGTTGAACATCCCTGTGCACAATGTATAACCTTGAAAGATTAGTGCAATATCTCATTGGGGTATAAGAGTTAAGGCTCAAGGGTGAGCAAAAATTTTGCGTACTCAAATCAATATCGAAACTGGCGGGATTGAAAACAGAATTTGATTCGGTGTTACAATTTACAATAATATAGTTAAGAACTAGTTCTAGTGGATTCCAATTTCGATTTCCAATTTCTCAGAACCTTTCCCTCATTTTTTTTTCCTTCAGTTGACATGTTTCTTTTATCACCTTTGCCAACGCACAATTTTAATGATTGATATATCAATTTATCAACACTATAAAATCATCACAAAGTGAATATTAAGGGCGTGTTCGGTACTAGTTTTTAAGTAGTTTTTAGGTACCTTTTAGTAGTTTTACTTATTCAAATCATTACTTAGTAAAAAATATTAGTGTTTGGCAATGTAGTATTTGATAAGGATTGACATAATCTTAGTGATAATATCTTGTTATTATCCTCCTTAATTATCTCCAATAAACTAGCTGTACATATATTGTTGCTACAATTACTCCCTAGATTAAGGTTGACTTATATTCTCTAGCTTAGTGTTTACTATATATACAACGTAATGAAGGAAATTATCAATCATTCAAAACATTCTCTATAGTATTGGGATTAGAGTTTAGTGGTTGGAGTAGCTTTTGTAAAAAGTTAATAGTATTAGTTTTTGTGAAAAACTAATAGTTGTTGGAATTTTCTTCTATATTTTCAGAACTTCACATCTAATAGTTAGTCAACGGCTAGTTTGCCAAACACGCATAATAAATTATTATTTATTTTCACAGCTAACAGCTGCACATACAGTTAACAACTACTATCACAGTTAACTGTCTCTATGCCTACATTTTGCCAAACACGGCCTAATTACATTTTAGATTTTGTATTATTTTTTAACAATTATATATATAACTGGGAACGAGCTAGTTTATAGCAGATTAAAGATCAGTTTCAAAATTTTAGGACGGGCTGAACTAGATCCAATTTCATTTTTGAAATTTAAGAACGAGTATCAGCTCTCAACTACTTTTAGGTCCGATTGATAAATTTTTGATTGGTTACCCTGTTTGCTCGCCTCTAATGGCCCTCTTAATTAACATTAAGTGGTCATGGATTTTGAAAATTGAAAGCATAGCAAATTTTGGACACCCTATTTTGTACCCGCTGACGTGTTATCTACTTTTGCTTTTATGACATACTAGGTTATCCCCGTGCAATGCACGATTAGAATTAATCTTATTTGTAATTTATGCTTAGCTGCATTACATTGTATATGAAGATTAGAATTAGATATAAAAATAAGGAAATATTGTATTTTACTACTCATTAATAACTCTATTTTTAAAATTACCACCCAAATTTTTTTTACTATAAATTACCACCCCTTAAATTTAATAATTATTTAATTTAAATCATCACATTTTCGCTTTTTCTAGTTACGTTGCCGGTTGTGGGGCCCAGTTTTATTATTTCCCTTTTTTTTTTTCCTACTATTCTCTTGATTTCCCTCTCTTAGTATTCTATCCCTATTCTACTCTACTCTTCCTCCATTTAATTACTTCATCTTCCAGCAATTAATCACTGACAATGGTTCAACCTCCCCCACCATTAACGAAACCAAACGTGTTAGAGAAAACTCTTAAATCTACAAGCAAGAAGAAAAGACATGTAGATCAACATATAACTTGGCCCAATTGTAAGTACGAAATCCCGTTGCTATTGTAACACAATCAAACACATTAACATTATCAAGGCATGTCATTCATTACCAAACACGTGAATCAGCAGCCATCATATCAATATTGTTTTACTTTCTGAGTAAAACACTGCATGAGCAAATTTAAGTGAAAGTTCAGAATAAAAGTACAATTTAACAACTACAGTTGTGAAGAACCCTAATTTTATTTTTTTAAAAAAAATTATAAAAAAAAAAAAAAAAAAACCCATTTCATTGTGCCAAGAACCCTAATTTCAGGAAAATCCCCAATTAAATAGTGTCAGGAACCCTAATTTTAGAAGACCCCCGAAATTATTTGCCAAGATACAAAAAAATTGAGCTTATTTAATTGTGACTTCAGTGTCTGCACTTGGTTGGGAAGAATTCTTCAAATGAAAGCTTGCAAAAATTGGGAGAATTTGAGGGTAAATGATTTCAATATTGTTGAGGAGTGTGAGGAGTTGTTATATATAACAAAATCGAGGAAAGAAATAAGACATCGGTCAAACTAGCCATTATGTGGGCCCCACAGTCGGAAAAGTGATCGAAAAGAGTGAAAAGGTGATGATTTAAAAAAAAATTAATTTAAGCTAAGGGGTAGTAGTTTAAAATAAATTTTTTTTGGGTGGTGATTTCAACATTAATGTTATTAATGGATGGTAAAATACAAAATTTCCTAAAAATAATATACATTAAAGGAAAGAAAAAAAAAATAAAAAATTAAAACCACGATCAAACATAAAATAAATTAGGTATGTGAAACTATAATTTAGGAAGGAAACTTGGTTAATTGAATTTTATATAGACACTTATGCATTGAAGTCAAAAGTATAGATTAAATACTAAAATAAAATAATCATTAATAATTGATGACATCACATAATTGGAGGAAAAAAATTTCAAAGTGAGAATGACACGTAGGTGTAGACACCTAAAAATCAATCAACCAATCAATAATAACAATAACACGTGTCAATGACACGTAGGTGTAGACACCTAAAAGACACACTAGCGTAGCAATAACACGTGTCATATGTGTAATTATTATATTTTAGTAAAAAAAATTGAAATAATTGATAGAGAATGTACGCAAAATATTTTCTTCCAAAATTTAGAAAAAAAAAATATCATAATATAATATATTTACCAACTTAGATATCTAACCGTATCTTTTATATAAATTTCAATAATAATTAAATAACTAAATATGAATCACAGTTCAAAATAGAAGAAAGCTTGAATAAAAAATATAATATGTAGTCATACAAGATACAAATAATATTTAAGTTCCTTGATTTGGGATAAAATATGAAATAGATTTTGGACCAAATTATTTTTTATATTTAAAAATAGTTTTAAATTGATACTCCATAACAAAGAGTGAAAAACCGTGCATGGCATGAGATCTAACCTAGTGTCTCCCTAAAACCAAACCTGGTGATGAACAATCTTTCGCCGCTATTATTGGTCAAGTTGAATATTTA